TAAGTTAGCTCTTTTTTATCTTAACTATAGCAGAATGATTTAATTTTTTAAAATATCAGGTAATAATATTTATTTGCTTACAGACCAGAAGGAATCTGCTTACAGAAAAAGTGTTTCTAAAGCCTGAAAAGGCTCCTATTCAGCTTTTAAGCCCTCTTCCTGGTTACCTTAAAAATACTGCTTCGAAAAAAAAATTATGAATATATGAGAATGATAATGCTCTTACTTCTGATGTTGAGCAAGCCAGAGCTGAGGATCTGCTGCCTAATGTGATTTGAAAGCATAAAGAGGTTAAAGTGCGTGATGCAAATACAGGTCATCTCATATGTGCAGTTTATCAAAATCACATCAGCAAGGAGGCTCTAGACTTCATGTTCGAGTCAGTTCTCTTAATGTTCTGAAAATATTCTAAAGTAAAAAAAGAAGAGATTAAAAAGCTAAAACAAGAAAACATGATGGCTGCAGGATATCTGTGCATCCATCATTGTGAAGTATTTATACATGTTCGAATGTAGCAAAAATCTTGCTGAATACCCAAGAATTCAAAGACAAAGAAATCCATATAGTGGCTAGTGTAAGTTTGTTATATAATTATATAATGCATTTATTTCCCAAAGAGCTAGTAGAGGATGTAGCTAAACTGCTCGAAGAACATGATCTGCCCAGACTGAATAGTGACAAATATGGAGCAAAAGGAGCAGTTGGTTTCGATATGACTTATAGAGGAACAGCAATACATTTGCTTTACCAACTGGATCTGTGTAAAGCATATACTGCTCTCAATTATTCAAAACATGCTCACAAAGACAAAAACTTTTTGAAATATGTCTGGATCTGTGTGTGTGCAAGAGGAATTTGAAATAAAGAAGGTGAATATATAGAAGAAGAATTTATAGGAGAAAATTTTTTTCTTTTAGAGTATGGTATTTTGATTGAATTAGATGCAAACACTTTGTGTTACTTTTCTAAGCGAGATGAACATAGAATCACTGTTGTTTCTTTGACTGGCTATCAAGCTATCTGGTTACAGAATCTGATAACAAAAACTATGACAATAGCTGATAAGTGAAAAAGGGATGAAGAATCGAAAAAGCAAAAGAAAATTCGTTTAAAACAGTTCAGAGAGCAACCTAAAGTGCTTGCATTTTTTTTTGAAAGCAGAAAAACAAAAAAAGAAGACTATTAATGAAGAGAAGGGTGAGGCAGCAGATAAGGAGGATGGAGAAGCAATTGGGAAGGATGTAATTAATAGTGAGGAGGATGAGGCAGCAGAAGTGGAGGATGAGACAGCAGAAGTAGAGGATGGGTTCGATAAAGAGGAGAGTGTGATTGAAGTAAGGATGATAAGGCTACAGATGAAGATAATGAAAAAGAAAGTGAAGCTGAAAATATGTGAAATGATAGCAAGAATGAATGGTATGAAAAAGAAGGAGATATCAATTTGGGAGGTATAGTACAACTTCAATTTGGAAGATGGTTACATAAATAAAATAAATATTATGTTATATTTTTCCATATTTTCTAAATAATTTATGCTTCTGAAAAATAAAAATATTA